ACCAAAAAAATGTTTGCCAGAATTGGTGTGTTAGTGGATAATGTTTTTCTAGCATAAACATATATGACTACTTGTTGAGACTTTAGTTGTATTTGAGCCACTAGGTTGTTCTTTTTTTTTTTTTTTAATTTTGTTGTTTTAGTAAAAGTTTTTATTACGTGATTAATTGATGTTTTATTCTCTTAAAGAATATTCAAAGATAAATTTAGAACTCTTTTACAACGAAAATATTAAAATTAAATTAACAATTAGAAAAAATGTGTAATAATTTAAAAATATAAGAGTTTATCTAATTTAAAAAATAAGAGGTTTTTGTTTATTATGAGTAAGCCCATGGGGGTTTTTCCTTTACTCAAATTTAAATAAAAATAAATTTTACTTTTAAGTCAATTTTATATTTAAATAATAAGCTTTATAGTTATATGTATCAAATATATCAATTAATATTTCAACATATAAAATAAGTTTGCCTATTCTAAGAAAAATAATGTTTCTAAATGATGTTAATGACTTAATTGTTAATAAACTTAATAATATTGATGATATTAATATTTATTAATATATTTAAGTAGTTTAAAATAAATTTATTGAGGGCATCATAATAATCAAATTTTAAATCAAGAGGAGTAGTATAACTTTTAAGATTTAGATTACGTTTAACACAAAACTTAAATTAAATATTAAAAAAAATAAATTTTTATTCTCTTTTTTCAATATAAATTTATATATTTATTAATTAAATAACACACAAACATTAATCATATAGTTCTGCAAAACTCCATTAGACGAAAGTTACAACTTCAATGAAATACTACCTTAAAGTTATCATCCTCACTGAAGATTGAACTTACAAGCTTTAACGCCGGAGCCACAATATCCTAATTCTCCTTCTCTGCTACTGGTAATGGCGGTACAACTTCATCGCGCCTACTGCATCCTTCCTGCACCACGTGTCGCTTTACCATCTCATCCCTCCTCATCATCTTCTTATTCGGGAATTCGAATTAGAGACTTACGCTCCAATTTCTCTGTCACTCGCCCTCACCGTTTCCGCTTCAGCTCGCGCGCGTCCGTCACCGCTTCTCTCTCCGCCGTTGATTCTCCAGACACTTCTCTTAGGGATGCCCATGATGCGGAGAAAGTACCCCTGCTCGAAGTGAAAGATTTGACTGCTGTGATTGCTGAGTCCAATCAGGAAATTCTCAAGGGCGTCAATCTTTTAATTTGCGAAGGAGAGGTGCGTATTCACTCTTGCTGATAATCGTTTGATTTGCGAAATTTACCGGTTACTCGTAGGTGCTCGTTTTACCAATTTCGTTGAGTAGATATATCGTTTCTTGGTATTTAGAACAAATGTCATTTAATTTAAGTGAACTGAGTTTATAAAATGTGTTTATTATCTGATCGTACTTATACTGGCCGGTTTCTATTGTTGTCTTGTAATTGGTGTGTTTCTTTTGCCCAGATGATATGATTATCAGGAGTTCCTCTGGATAATAAATATCTTCATTTCTTTGGTATTATGACCTCTTTAATGATGTTCTTGTTTGTTCACAACTAGGTTCATGCGGTGATGGGGAAGAATGGTTCTGGAAAGAGCACATTCTCAAAGGTTGGTTTCTTCTCACTTAACACATGTAACAATTCATTTTATTGCTCGTAGTGATGTTAACATCAATAAATCACCTAGCGTGGACCTCTAACCCTCAGTTGATAAGATTGTAAAGTA